AATTACAATTCTTAAATTGATGACAAAAATACCTGTAGGATTTGCAGCTGGTTGGAAAAATACAAGTAACTTTATGCTTCGAGTAGGTACTTTTGTCACCCGCGCACAATTTGCGGACGCGACTAGCACTAACCACTGCACATGAGACTGCTGACTGACTGGCTCACTCAACTCGTGCATGAATGGCGCTGCGTATCCCACAGCCCGCCTGCGCCACGTCTCCAGTCGCCCGACCGACCGACCAACCGACACCCCCCACTTCTTCTAACGCCACTTCTTCAAAATAGACTCGCCCAGGCCGAAAACCGACTTCTGCACATGGGCCACGAAGTTTCAATCACACTGTACGTGCGCGCCCGCACGTGGTATTTTGTGAAAGAGCCACACTCAAGAGGCCAAAGAGCCGCATGTGGCTCACAAGCCGCGGTTTGCTGACCACCACACTAGACCACGATAAGCATCTCAAAAACAGGAACCGCTGTGTTGTTCATCTTTGTAATCCCAGCGTCTGGCACTCCGTGGGCCCTCAACGAATATTTGTTATACTGAATTGACATAAAATATGAGACGTATGAGCAAAGTGATGGGCTCAGCTTGACATTTCAACAGATGGTTTGAATCAAATATGACTCCAACCTATAAAACCTCAAGTCCTCATCGGAAAACTTCATCCACATTCCTTCCAGAATGACTTGGCTCCCCAGTTTATCCTGTAATAAAGCACAGAGTACCTTCTCAGATGGAATTCCCATGAATCATCAGTGCTCAGTTCAGTGCCTGCCCTGGGCATCCCCCGGCCGCAGACAGAGTCGCACAGAGTGTTTACCTTTAGATGACTCCCCAGTGCCAGGAGCTCTGTCCGTGGCGGATCATACTTACAGCTGAGATTTTAGTTGCCTTGCTTGGTAAATCAAAGTGAGTGCTCATTCTCCCCCCTTGTGCAGGGGGTGTCACCCTAAAAACCAAAGGCGTGGTACATTTCTCTACCCACTGAGGACGCTCTAAGCCCTAGATCCTGCCAGCTCTGCTCGCCATGGAAAGCAGGACGGGGGACATTTCCAGCAGGATAGCTGACCCATAGAGATTAATGTAAAGTGAGCCAACCAATGGTCCCTCCACCTTTTCCATTTCACTGCCCATCTCTGGGACATGGCTGGGGAAGAAACCTTAAGGAAACTTCATTCTTTCTCCCTTGGCTTCAGGTTGCTTTTATCAATCTAGCATCAAGGAGCAAGAGAACTAGAGGAAAAGCATATTCTTAAAGGAAAGGACAGGGATGTATAGTTATCTTTTAATATATCATGTGATTTATGCCAGAAATACTAATTGAGCACCTACTAAGTGCCAGGCAATGTTTTCTATGGGGAGGATACAAAAAGGATGAAATAGACCCAAGTTTTTGACCTCATAAACCTTATATTCTAGTGGGAGAGATAATAAATAAGAGAAGTATATATATTATGTTAAATAATAATTTCTAAACAGAAAAAATAAAGCAGAGAAGGAGGATATAAAGTATTTGGAAGAGACATTGAAATTTTAGGAAGGATGGCCAGGAAAGGCTGGCTAAAAATATGACCATGAAGGAGAGACCAGAAGAAAATTAGTGACTTAGTAATGTGTATCTTTAGGAGAATAGCATTTCAGGTAGAGTAGATGAAAGGCTTGTCACAATTCCATAGTATTTAAGACAATGCAATATTGGCATAAGAATAGACAAACCAACCAATGGAACAGAATAGAGAACCCAGAAATGGACCCACACCTATGAAGAAGCCTGGTATATGACAAATCAATGGAGGGGAAAATGGACATTTCTAAATGGTGCTGGGACAGTTGGCTTCCTATATGAGGGAAAATGTATTTTCTACCTCCCGCTATAAACAAAAATCAATTCCACATGACTTAATGACTTACATATGAACGGTAAAACTTTAAGAATTTAGAACAAATATACAGATGGTCTTGATATAGCAAAGAATTTCTTAAATAAGACGTTAAGAAAAAGCGCAAGCAGTTCTGGACATGGATGACGGTGGTAGTTGCACAACAGTGTGAATATCCTTAATGCCACCTAATGAACTGTGCACTCTAAATGATTAAAATAAGTTTTGTGTAATATACATCAATTTTTCTTAAAAAGCACATAAGATACATTTTTAATGAGCCACAAATTGGGAAAAGAAAGTTGTCAGCTATAATTAACACAGTTTTGGTATCAGAAGATACTAAATAGGAGAAAAAGATAAAAACACACTAGAAAAGGGGTGGGGGAACCTAAATAGGTATTTCACAACAAAGGAAACATAATGACCAAGAAATATACAAAATATGTTCAGCCACATTAGTAATTGGGGAAATGCAAATTAAAATCACAGTAATGTACTAGTCTACACCCACTAGATGGACAAAATTTCAAAGTCTGAAAATATCAAGCGTTGATGGGAAAACTCAGGTAGAAGTATTAATGGATGCATCTACTTTTGAAAACCATTTGGCATCACCTGGTAAATTTGACCCTGTGTCTCAGTGCAGTAATTCTACTCTAAGTAAATTCTCTAAAGAAATTCTTTTGCATAAGCATCAAAAAACGTTAACAAGAATGTGTATAACAACATCAAAGTTTCCAGTAAAACACTGGAAACTACCCATCATCAGGAAAATGAGTAAATAAATTGCAGTCAAGTCACACGGTGCAATATG